TTGTAGAGACAACAATCGACTCTGCAATTGGACGGTTGAAGCACTTTTTGGTTATCTTGAAATAAACTGCCAGCAGGCCAAATCCAAAGACAATGCACAAAAATGCAAAAATCGACAAACTTTTTTCCGATGATCTTTCTCGAGTGAGCAGAGAAATCACAGCTCCAAAGATGATCACACCAGCTCCAAAAAAAAGAAAAGAGAGAATTGAGAGAATCAAGGCTCTCGTTTTGTTTGTGGTTGATGCACCTGTCGATTCTTCCTCACCATTCGCTGTCTGACGGTTATCTGCCATCGCAAAACAGTCTTTGTCACTCTTTTTTGATATAATACGCCTCTTATTTTTTGTGTTTCGGCTACACTTGTTACCAGATGGACTGTCATAGGCTGTTTCTAGACTAAGTCTTTGAACTTGGCGTGCATAAGGCTCTTTGAACGTTTTGGCAAATTTTCCAGCAATCTATGCCAAAAGTTATTGTGTGCAGACGTTAAAGAACAATCCCGACAATCTAAACTGTATTTCGGTTGCTTTAATTGCATTGTTTTGACGCAAGTAAAATAAAATTATATATAGAAAATTTCTATGGTCTGATTCATCAGCTGAGGAGTACGTGACTCTTGAGTACGTGATGAAAATAAGCTGACTTTCTTGCAAATGATTAAATTTCAAGCACCTCCACTTGAACTTATTTCTTCTAGGTAGCTTTAATTTATTTAGCTTAAGGAGCTCATTTCTCTTGATCAACCGCACTTTGAAGCTAGAATCATAGTTGTGTGGCTTTGTAGAATGTTACAATATTCTAACGGTCAAAGAAACGTAGTAATTGTTTTGTCGCGAATATGAGACAAGTTAAAAATAACTGAGTCTTCTAGAAGACTTCAGATTTCACACTCCAACGGCTTTATCGCTCACTTTACTAAAATTTTGCGTTTGAATTAAACAAAATTTTGTTATTTCCTACCACTTGAGATTAGGACAAACCTGCTGCACCCAGTATCTCAAGCTATATAGTTCCATGATTCTATTTATAGTTATATGATACGCTGAAGTACGCACGAATTTTGATCGTTTCCCATTTAGGGACGGAGGGGGGTGTATGAAAAATTTTTTCTACATACATTTTTTAAACATATACGTCTCTGCAAACATTTTTTCCAACATCATCTTCGTGTAAACAGTTTTTTAAAATATAGCGCGCGTGCTTGCCCTACATAAGTCCTATTGAGCCGCCATGAACAAAATCTTTATTTACGCACACCCGTGCGTAAATAAGATGAAGTGAGCTTTTTTATTCTTTTTTTAACCTGGCTTGCAGAGTCGCCGTCCTGTTAAGCTGCAATGCAGTTTTCCTTCTCTTTAAAATATGGAAGAAACCATGGAAGAACTGCCCAATATTTTTTATCAGCATCGATTTGTTAGGTCCTGATCCAACAAGCAGCAAAAACAAAGCCGAAAATAACTCGCAAGTTGCGTGTTTCGCAAATTTGTCAGGTTTTTTACTTTTAAAACATTTTATGGTGGCACTTGACCTCATTTAGCTTTGATTTTCTCCATTTTTCCCATTAATTTTGAGCTTTTCATGCACAATTATCGATTAACTGGATCAAATGCATTCACTTAATCCAAAGTATAGAATGTGGCGTGTTTTTGGCCAGCCATATAGAGGCGTTTGTTTACTTTTTTGTTTGTTGTGAGAATTTTGCACTCTATCACAATAAAAAAGCGGCTCTCCAAAAAAGCTTCTTCGCGTAGATCCTTGTTGTCGCTCTGCCAAAAAAGAATTTGTTCATGCTTTTAGCTGTAAGTATACCGAGTTATGGATGCAGGCGGGAAGTTTGGAGAGCCTTCAAAAAGCTAGAGTAGCTCTCGGCAGCGTCTCGAGCTACTCTTACGCATTTTTCGTGCTCTCCAAACTTCCCGCGTGCACATCCGTAACTCGATAAACGCACGCTAAGCATGAACGAATTCTTCAGTTTTCATTTTTTTTTCAGTGCTCTTTTTATTTATGTTAAATATTATTATTGTCTTATTGAACTATTTTACGAAGAACGTAATATGTTGACAAGTAACGTTGAAATTTAATCGCCACAATAACTTCCCTTTTTTCCAAGAAACACTCAGCTATTTTTCAGATTTGTTATTTGCTTAATGCAGAGTGACCACTTTTTATTGCCTAAAGTGTGTTAATATTTTTCTTGCCCTATGACGTTTGGAAAAATTTTTTTTGTCTTTTCAGACCCTGCGAACAATTTTTCGTGCTAAATATTCTCATTGTCTTATTGAACTATATTACGAAGAACGTAATCAATATGTTGACAAGTAACGTTGAAATTTAATCGCCACAATAACTTCCCTTTTTTCCAAGAAATATTCTGCTATTTTTCAGATTTGTTCTGTGCGTAGCTAGAGTGACCACTTTTTAGTGCCTAAATTGTGTTAATTTTTTTACTCTATGATGTTTGCAAACAATTTTTTTGTCTTTTCAGACCCAGCGAACAATTTTTTTCAATATTTCTCATAACTCCTCCAAAAAAAGAATGATCTATCCTTTATGATCTATTTAAGGACAGACGCCCGTCTGACAAATAGTGTCGCCATGAGTGACATTTGCTAACGGTCGAGGCTAACTTTTGAGTAAAACATGGCAGGCTGCATTTCTCTCTTTATTCCTACAGTAGGTTGAATTTGATTTGTTCCTAAGAATTGGGAATTCACTTAACTGCTTTTAAAGAACTATGTTGAAATTGAATATTTTGCTTATTGAGGGACTTCGAATTGGCTAGGCTCAACTGCAGTAATTGACTCCTTCACTGAAAACGTGACCTGTTTGCAACCTTTTCAATAGGCAAATCGAATCACGCGTGTTAAGCTCAAGCACGTGTTCATTGAACAGCTTTACATCGCTTCACTGCCTGAATAACATGCAATAAGTTCTGTGTGATTCATCACGTACAACATATTGCATTTTATTTTGCTTGCTTAGTGACTTCGAATTGGTTAGGCTCAACTACAGAGGACTCCTTCACTGAAAACGTCACCTGTTTGCAACCCTTCAAATAGGCAAATCGAATCACGCGTGTTAAGCTCAGGCACGTGTTGGACAGCCTTACATCGCTTCTCTGCTTGATCAAGTGCAATGAGTTGTACGTGACTCATCAATCACCTTATTGCATTTTATTAAACCGGCAGGAGTAGCCCTTGACCCTTATTGGACAAAAGATGGGTGGGGCGTCCAATTTTGAGCTCTTTTATGGTAGAACTATGTTCAGATTGAATATTTTGCTTGCTTAGGGAGTACGAATTGGTGAGGCTCAACTGCAATAGTTGACTCCTTCACTGAAAACGCGAATATGTTTGCAACCCTTCAAATAGGCAAATACAATCACGCGTGTTAAGCTCGGGCACGTGTTGGACAACCTGCTTGATAAAATGCAATAAGTTGCACGTGATTCATCACGTACACCTTATTGCCTTTTATCAAACCGGTAGGAGTAGCCTTTGACCGTTATTGAACAAAAGATGGGTGGGGCGTCCAATTTTGAGCTCTTTTATTGTAGAACTATGTTGAGATTGAATATTTTGCTTGCTTAGGGAGTACGAATTGGTGAGGCTCAACTGCAATAGTTGACTCCTTCACTGAAAACGCGAATAAGTTTGCAACCCTTCAAATAGGCAAATCGAATCACGCGTGTTAAGCTCGGGCACGTGTTGGACAACCTGCTTGATAAAATGCAATAAGTTGTACGTGATTCATCACGTACACCTTATTGCATTTTATCAAACCGGTAGGAGTAGCCCTTGACCGTTATTGAGCAAAAGATGGGTGGGGCGTCCGATTTTGAGCTCTTTTATTGTAGAACTATGTTGACGTTGAACATTTTGCTTGCTTAGGGACTTCGAATTGGCGAGGCTCTGCTGCAGTAGTTGACTCTTTCAGTGAAAACGTGACCTATTTACAGGCATATGGTATTTCGTGGACTGGACTGGACTGGACTGGACCAGTAAAACGCGGACTAGTAAAACGCGCACTAGTAAAACGCGCACTAGTAAAACGCGGACTAGTAAAACGTGGACTAGTAAAACGCGGACTAGTAAAACGAGGACTAGTAAAACGAGGACTAGTAAAACGCGGACTAGTAAAACGCGGACTAATAAAACGCTGACTAGTAAAACGCTGACTTAACAACAACAACAACAACGAAAACAATTTCATACGAAGGCGATCACAAGACTTTATTTGCGAGCTAATTCAGTGAGTGACAATCCCTGTTTGACCTTTAAGCTACAAATGGGTTTGACATGCGTCAGATACAAACGATTTTATAAGTTTAGGCTAACAAAGAAAGAATTTTATTTAGCAGCAGTTCAAAATCTCAAAATACACTTTCGTTATAAATTTCTCATCTGGAATCTCGATTTTTCTCTTATGTTAAAAATTGTTTATTTCGTCGTAAATTTTACGGCAGAAACGCAGGAATTCGATGAATAAAAGTCGCACTAAATCTCCTTGTGTCTAGGTTGAAAGAGTCTCATTGACTTCAGCTTTTCGGTGGAAGAAACACCGATTTACACACGCCATTACAGAAAACAAACAAGCAGACTGACAACTCCAAAACACCTATTTGCATTCACTTACAATTTGACTTTCTGTGACATTTTAAAACGGAACAGAGGTAAATCTTCGAAGATTAATCGTTGTTGGAAATAAAAAATACTTTCCGTAAGATCTCTGTTTTTCTCTTTACGAGAAAATCGTCGCATGATCAGTTAACTCGTGTGTGTTTGTCACACCAGTACTGCTGTTTCTTCAAAAGCGTATGCTTCTTTCCTCTTTAATTGACAGGTGTCACATCGTGACAGTTACTTTTCAAAAAAATGTTTGAAAATTTGTTCGGAAGCCTTTTAACTACCTTTACAAATAAAAATGTTTCGGCGAAAGAAAAGAGAAATTAAACTTCTTGCAC